TTTTATTGAAACGGCGCGATAGTGAAGAAAAGCACCTTGCTGCAGTGTTCTTGAGCTGTTGTCCTTCTTGTGTCACTAAGCCTTGGGCTCTTTGGAGCTGCTTTACCGGTTCTTTTCAGAACTAGTGCCTCGCCGTATTTTAAGATTCTCCACCCATTCTAGTTAGTGTTTATTGACTTGGGCGTGGTTTATTATCACCACCACGCGGACCAGCAACAATTTGCAGCAAAGAGGCTGAAAGAGCTCTGAGGTAGCGGTCCATACAAGAAGTTAACAGATAGAGAAGGACTCGCTATTGGTGAATGGCTCCACTATAGCTGCTAAAGAACAGATGAATAGCTGAACACTAAACACGTGGTCTTAATTGTCATAGCAACGCTCTAACAGTTTCCATGGTTTTTAATTGAATTTTTTATGACCGCGAATAATTGCAGCCGCGAATATATCCCGACCTACGGTATTATTATTATTATTATTATTATTATTATTATTATTATTATCCAAAAATACCACACAAGGAGAGAGCAAGCTAAAATGAATATATATTATTATTATTATTATTATTATTATTTGTGGAATTCTCTCCCACCTGTAAACATCTCTTTATCTAAAGACACTATTAAATTACACGTTAAGAAAGCCTTTTGGAATCAATTTATTATTTACTTTGATCCTAATAATATTTGTTCTTATCACTATGTATGTCCTTGTTTTTCATGTACCAATCTTCCTGTAAACTCTATGTATTGTTGATTTGTTTATGTTCTTTAGTAGTTATTTTCATTTTGAGGTTTTTCATTATTTCCTTTATTTATTATTCTTACTTTTTTGTTTTGGCGGTCAGCTCAGGAAGCTGGCTGTCCATCTGTATACATTTGTATACAGTAAAGTTATTTAAAGTTAAAGTTATTATTATTATTATTATTATTATTATTATTATTATTATTATTATTATTATTATTATTATTATTATTATTATATTTTACAGCTGTCAGAGTTAAGTGGAATTCCTTTTTATAATATCTATTATACAGAGGTTAGTCATTAAAAATATATTAAAGATACTCTCTCTCTCATTCTATTAGAGTAAATCATTTCCAGTTATGATATCATGTCTTGATATTGAGAATGAGTTGAGATGGTATTCCATCAATTTAGACAGATATTACTCATTAAGACTATATGATGACGGACGTGTCATATATTACAAGTACTAATGAACACACACACACACATTATGTATGCACACACACTTACATACACCTCTTACTGTTTATAATTATTTAGAGACAAAAGAGAGACAATGAAAGAGTTAACAGATGAAGAGAGATATGAAATAGAAGTGGCAGAGGAAGCAAGGTCAGTAAACCTCATGTATCATCATGTACATGTACTATCAGTTAATGTAATACCTCATCACTTGTACCATTTATTGTATTGTAGGTTGGAGAGGATTAGGGACTGACTGAATGGATTGGTTTAATTTTTTTAGTGTCATATTAATTTTATACTTGTATAATTTTGTATTGCAACCCTGCCAAAATTACTTGCTATATGTAATAATTTTTACTCAATAAATACAGTATAGCGGAAAATTTTTGTAGCCCAAGAATTTTGCGGATCTGTTCAAAAATCAATTTTGTGGCTTTAATTTTTGTGGTTTTCTACTTTTTGGCCATCTTGAACCGTATTAAATACAATTTTCACGGATTTTATTTTTGTGGATTTTGAAAAAATGCGAAATCCACAAAAATTTTGGGCCACGAAAATTTTCCACTATACGGTATAGTCATAACACAGTGCCTCTATGACATTTTATGCTGCTTCAGTGCCTATAGTGCTGTATATTGGCTGTCTCAATTCCACCCCTTGTGCCACTATTATGCTGGATTTACAATATGACGCTAGGCCAACATACCGTCAATTTTTAATCAAAAGTGTGGGTGATTTGACTTTTTGACGCATGCTTCACGCTGGAGTTGAACCAGATTCAACTCCAGCTTCAACATAACATCAGGACTAGCGTAATATTGTAAATCCAGCTTAAGCCATACAGTACTCTTTACTATGACAGAACAGTGCTGTCAGATACTTGAAGCATAAAATTTGATAAAACAAGTACAGTTAAAAAAAATATTATTAAAAGTTAAAACAGTAATTATTACTGCTAATCACAAAGAAAGAGAAACAGAAATCCACTATAACATAAATCAACAATATACACCATCAGTCACAGTTTGCTGTCCTTTTTATAAGAATACAATTGAAGCAATAGATACATTGCACAGTCAGAGTTGGTCCAGTAGCCAGTGTGAGCTGTAATGGAGTTTAAGTAACTGTTCTCAGTTAGTCCTTCACGTAACATGAAATCAAGTCTCTCATTTAACCGATCTAGAAATAAATATATAAATAATTATTATAATAAAAGGGATTTGTCTCCCTGTGTAGTTATACATGTACATGTATATACTTACCTTCAGGTGGTATTTTGGTGTCATCATCAAAAATCTGTAGGAAAAACTATAATAATAATTGCTAATATTCACTAATACATCATTAAAAATTCTAGAATGCAGCTATTATTTGCAAAAACTTTAATCCTCTTTTAATTGTATAGAAGTCACTCAAGGAATATACATATACTGGCGTTTCATTAATAGTTTACTTTATCAGGAGGTAATGATTTAGAAGTTTCAGCGCCATTACTAGAAGCAACACTTTTAACAACAGCTGATATCAGTGATTGTGTCCAGCTGCTGCTACTGCTGCTGCTTTTAGTACTCTGCGTCACTTCTGGTGTCTTGGGTCCTTCAGCTAGACTCATTGACTTCTGTGTTGGTTTGCTGCTAGCAGCGTCCATCTTTACCGGCTTCACTTGGGCATACACTGGACTGATGAGAGGCTCCAAACGATACGCCTGGATTAAAATTGAAGAGTATAAAGATATCAAATTTTAATTTAAACATCAAATACAGGCACAAGTACATGCATAAGATAAATACTGTAAAAGCACCATGCACCATCTCATAATAGCAGGCTCACATGTTGTGATAATGGTGCTTTGACATTTATGCATTCATGTACATGTACACGTAACTACAATATTCTATTATTATTATTATTACTGTGTATTCATTGTTGTTGTACATATGTTATATATTGATCATTATGTATGTA